CGAGGTTTAAACTAGAATCATGTGAGACTGGTAGCAAAAGTCCACAGGTAGGTATAAAAACAGATCCATGCAAGGAATAAGCCAGGGGACTGGGATTATTCAAAAACATGACTATAGGAGGAGAAGTGAGAAGAACAAGTCTATCTGCAGAGCATCCTGCAATGCCTGAACATCAACACTGAGAGTAAGACAAAAGCACCAGCAGGAGAAGCTGGAAGCATAAACTTATGATCAAAATTACACATAATAGTGGCATAACAGTGTCTGGCTGAGAAAATTCACAACTAGGATATTACCACAGGAAGGCATCACTTGCTCAAGAAAGAGAGGACAAGCCTTGCATATCACAGAAACATACACTTGGTCTGAGGTCTCATAACATTCTCCTAAGCAAACAAGAAGACTATAGGAAGTTATGATTAGCTGGGTGTCCTGGTTTCGGCTGGGATAGAGTTAATTTTCTTCCTAGTAGCAGGCATAGTGCTGTGTTTTGGATTTAGTAGGAGAAGAATGTTGATAACACGCTGATGTTTTTAGTTGTTGCTAAGTACTGCTTATGCTAGTCAAGGACTTTTCAGCTTCCCATGCTCTGCCAGGTGCACAAGAAACTGGGAGGGGGCACAGCCAGAAGAGTTGATCCAAACTGACCAAAGGACTCTTCCATACCATATGACGTCATGCCCAGTATATAAGCTGTGGAGAGTTGGCCGGGGAGCAGCGATCGCTGCTTGGGAACTGTCTGGGTATCGGTCGGCTGGTGGTGAGCAATTGCATTGTGCATCACTTGCTTTGTATATTATTATTATTATTATCATTATTATACTGTTACTATTATCATTACTATTTTACTTTATTTCAATTATTAAACTGTTCTTATCTCAACCCAGGAGTGTTTCTCACTCTTACTCCTCCGATTCTCTCCCCCATCCCATTGGGGCAGGGGGAGTGAGCGAGCGGCTGCGTGGTGCTTAGTTGCTGGCTGGGGCTAAACCACGACACTGGGTAAAAAACTAACTGGGATACCATATTCTGAAAACAGTTATCACTCAGCCATTGTCAAAGTGCAGAGGACATGTAAAGACTGTGGTTCCACAAGGGTGTCACAGAGTTCTACATCATTCCTGTTATTTGGTACTGTCTTAGAAGAGTGAATACACTCTCTAAAACACCAACTTGGAAGGGACAATAATTCTGTTCGAGGACAGAATTCAAAATGTGTTGGGTTTTTTTAGTTGGTTGGTTGGGTTGGTTGGTTGGTTGGTTTGGATAAATAGCCTAATACTGTTGTCAAATATGTAGAAGTTAGCTAAAAAGAAGGGATGCTTAGGATAAAAGAATGATTTAAAAAGAGGCTTGAATCACAGCCATGAAACTGTAGGTCAGAAGACCTCAGAGGAAAGCTTTCTAACAGGAAGATCCAAAACATTGACTATTTTTATTTCACACAAAAACTTTAATATTGTTTTCTATTTTTATACATACACACAAAAAAAGTTAAATCTTCTGATCGAGTCAGTGACCAAATCAATTATTTGTAGGGCACTAGCTGTTGATATTTCATTTTACTGTGTGGAACAACATACTAGCAAAATGGATTTTCAGATTCATCATTCTCATTAATTTCCAAGTTGACCACAGCTTGCTTACAACACTATATTATTATTTTTAATTGAAAGAAAAATAATAAAATAAATATTAATCTGAAAGCTATTTTTTAATCTAAGAAGTTAAATGAAATTTTCAAACTTGTTTACACATTCACAGTTACGTGAGGATGGATTAGATCTTCCTTTAGTAGTTCCTACTGCTGGGAATCAAATTGTATGTATTTGATTTGTTTTCAGAGTTATTTGTATTTTTAAATCTGCCTCTAAAGTAGTAATTACAAATGGACTTTAAAGGTCAAACACACTTTTAAAGCTTAAAGAGGTGGAAGATTATGGTCTCCCACTGTAGGAGTGGCTGCACTACTGAACATACAGCAAGCCACTGACTTTCATTGACACCTTCCTTGTCACACTGATTGTGGATGAATATTACCTGCAGGTTACAGACTAATGATAAACTTTCTATTTTATTGCCCTTTCACACATTTAAATCAAAAGTGTTTCAGAGCAGTCGTATCCCAAAAACCTGGATACATGAGGTGAGAAAGCAAGCACTATTTGATCCAGCACCCCTTATTTTGTGCCAGGCGACTTCACGCTGCCTCACAGGAAAACAGGCACAAAAACAAAGGACAGAGGAGTACCAGCAGAGCCAGGCTGCAGTTGGAGAATTAGCCCCTGACAACAGCATGGCATGTCTTTGGATAGCCTTCTCACAACTGCAGAGCGCTATTGCAGCCTCTCTAGCCACTTATTTTAGGAGTTTCTGATATCTTTCTTCTGGTCAGCAGAGAGATCAAATTATCATCACCACTGGCATGATCCCATGATCACAGCTAGGAGAGAGGGCATGGCATAGGGGTGTGGGAGGGTGTGAGATCCAGATCTGGCTTCTAGAGAATGAGAGAAGAACAACCACAACAGTCTTATGAAGAAGCACAAGACCTGAGGAAGCTATGTAAGGATTTAGGATTTTTAGCCTAAAACACACTTTCTTCTTGTCATTGGCCTAACCCCCATCTAAAAGAAGGTCATGGCTGACATCTGGTTCCTGCTCAGCTGTGGCAGTATTCCTGTTTCCAGACAGGCAGGAATGTATTACCACTAGCCTCTCAGAAGACTTCATCTGGGGACTTCACATAGCACTGCTGTCACAATCTGTAGCACTGTCTTTGTGCTGTAACAGCACTGCCCATTATCTCAGTATCAACTGCAACTGCAGAGACACTGCATGATCCTGAGACAGAGTGACAATTCTTTTACAGCTCTTACTAAGCCAAGATGTGGCTGAACACAATCTAGACTGGGTTGTGTTAAGCAAACACTTCAACTGGGAAAAGCGCTGCCTCCATGGTTCCACTCAAGGATCAACTTTCACCAGCACTTGAGGTCATCTTTCTGAACGCTAAAGAAAAGCATCATGTGTGGCCTTGAACGCAAAAGCAGACATAAAGGCAAAGCCTGAACTTCGTATCGCTCCATTTCCATTTGACCAACAAGCTGCAGAGCACCTCATCTTTGCTCTTACGCTGTGGATAAATTTGTTCTGTTCCTGGGATAAAATGCAAGCAGCCTCAGGGTGTTTCTAACTCACAGTTTATTTTCCTTGGCTCTCTTCTGATCAGAAGAGAACAGCCGCGGTGAGCACTCAGATGCATTAGTTTGAAGGAGCAGAAGCAAAAATGCTCCTGAGCGCTCTCCACAGATGCATTAGTTTGAAGGAGCAGAAGCAAAAATGCTCCTGAGCGCTCTCCACAGATGCATTAGTTTGAAGGAGCAGAAGCAAAAATGCTCCTGAGCCACTATTGCTGTACTGGACCATGGGAGCATAATTACAACCTCACAGTCAAGTGTATGCGCATACTTTGTATTTTGATTTCTCTTTGCAGTGGCTAACATACCATAAAAAGACTACAAAGCACTGGAAATAGAAGTACAGTGCTTCAACCCAAGAGCAGATGCTCTGCGCTCACCAGAGCTAGATTTCTTTGCACATGCATACTCAGCACGTCATATCTGGCTTCTCACGTCCATGAGCTCCTCATCAGACGTCTGTTTCTTTCAGGGCTGTCTTTGTACAAACACCAGTACCATTTGAAATCTTTACCTCCATCACGGCATCAAACCATTCCACAACATCAAATAAATTGATTGGTCTTTCTAGCCTAGTTCAAAATCCCTGTTACACTGAACATCTGAGTGCACAAAACTATGTGACATTTGACTAATTCCTTCATACAGTAAGGACTTGATACTATAAAAGGAGTGTATTTACAATAGCTTTGTGCTTGCAAATGTCACTTGAGCATCATCAGTAGCACAGCAGCAAACTACCTGGTGTGTACCATAGCATTCTGTTAACAAGTGGATGGAAAGGTTATGTCGGAAAGTGCAGCGGTAGTAGATTATTTGATTATACTCTCAGTGACTACTTGGGTAAAGACTTGCACGAGCCTTTCAAAGGAAATTCTGTCAAATACAAGAGGCACAATATTTTGGGTATTGTCCTTATATCAGGGATGTGATACTGACTAGTTTAGAAAACTTCAAAAATAACTGTAGGAATTGAAAATCCCACACTTGACAGATTAATGTGAAAAACTTAAAGTGACTATTCAGTGTGTTTTTACTTTCCAGAATCTATGGACGACAGAAATGGAAGAGAGGAAAGATAAAACCTTGGCAAGTTTTAAGCTTTCTAAAATTTCTAACTTAATCACCTGGCCTATGTCTCAGCTTTGGGCTGTAGTGAAGACTGCTGTTCCAGAACTGAAGCACACACTCTATAGCCACAACACTTTACAAGTTTCATTGTACCTGCATTGCTCAACAACTTTCAAGACAGAAGAGGAAGAGCGGGCTTGCTAAGGACAAAATAACAGACTTCAGAGTTGTCTCACTAACAGAAGGCACTGCAAAGTGACTTAAAAGTGGCACAGAGGAGTTTGTCATCTATTGCTGCTCACTGATTTCCAGATAAGTGAGTTCAGTTTGCAAGCAGAAAGAGCACCCCTTCACACACAACAGCCAGCTGTGATGGACCAACTCAGCCTGAGTGCTCGATTCTTAAAGACAGCAATCACCAACGCCTACAGATCAATAGATTTTTCAAACAGCTCCATATGACATGTCAAATCTTGGATTCTTTTTATCTTTCGTACCATCACCACTACTAAAGTTTCCATACCCATCATGATCACTGTACAACTCCACTCCCTTTAGTAAGCTTGCTTTGTAGTCACTGGGTAGGTTTTGAGCACATTTAAACCCGCAAGATGACAACAGCAAAACACACCATAATTTCTTCACCATCTCTGGAAGTGTGCAGTTCTAGACACTGTCCCCTTCAACACCTGGCTCAAGAATCATTGAAATATGAAATCAAATGCTCACTTTTTGATCTAGACTGTAGGCCAGGATCCACTCCTCCTGCTTGGGGTGGAAGAGCAAGCTCTGGATATAGAAGTTCAGACGGTACTTCTGGTAGGTAGCCCCTTCATCAGAGCTGATGAGGATGCTGCTCTCAATCTCTGGATCACTAAGAAGCATGATCTAAATTGAAAAATGGAGGGAAAAGAGTGTTAATGGAAAAGTGAAACTGAACATCATTTAAAAGTGAGGTCATACAGCCCTGATTACTATTAGATGTATTCAGAACATTGCTCAACAGTGTAAACAGCCCATAGGATTTCCCAGATAGGGGGTTTTTTTGGTATTTCACTTCCATTTTATTTGGTGATTCATTCAGTGATTCTTTTTTTTTTTTTTTTTCATTTTATTTTTATCCAGGTATATTCAGAAAGCCCAGCAAAAATGAAAAATGCTGTGTTGATATTGAAGCTGATTTTGGTTGGGTATAGCAACTTCAGACAGCCACACCAGGCTTACCTCGTCCCTTTCCAGTCTACCAACTCTCTTCCCAGATGTGGAATACTCTCTCCAAAAGTACAAAACATGGCACTCCTGAGATTTAAGGCTCATTATTTGGCAGCTTGCAGAGCTATAAACGAGAGCATGACCTCACTGGAAACACAGAATGCCTACCTGGATCAGGTGCTGGCATCTGAAAATAGTCCATGTGCGTGTGCAGAAACATTGATACACAATCTCATATATCATGCTTCCAATTTATACAGTAGGAGATATTCATTCACTCAGCGAACACATAATTCTCCCCAAGCGCAGGAAAGTGTATGACCTCAATTTGTACAGGGAGGAAAACACTTCTGAGCCTCTAGTTTTAATTAGAAAATTATTACCAATATTTTAAAATGGGTTGATTCCACGTTATCAGATGGCATGCTCTACATAAATGTTACCACAAAAAATGTTGTGGAAACATTAACACCATCCTATTAACATCTGGAGAAAACGACATCACATTAAAGCAAATGCCAGTATCATAAAATAAAGGCAAACAGTAGGAAATAAATTAAAGCTGTGCTAAATACAGCAGGTTATTGATACAGTAGCTGAAACAAATATAGAAACTGCCTTTCAGAAGGAACTGCCATTTTTAGCTAGCTGCAGAATGATCAGCTAGCTGAGATCCATTGCAGTTTTGTTAGACTCACGCATCCACATTAATTTTTCTCATCCAACTTCACAGAGCTCAAACTTCAAGACTGCAATAGGGAAACACATTCATTTTGACAGCAAAAATCAGTTACAAGGAATGGTAAGACCCTTGGTATGTTAGACCTTGATCAAGCAAAAAATTTCAGCGCTTGTTTAATCTTGAGCACCTCATTAACTCCACAAAGGCACCACAGGAAAGTGAATATAATGCAAATTGTTTCTGATCCTTTCCATTAAGAAATGGCAAGGGCCTTTAAAACTAGAACTGAATGTTGGCCCAGGATGAAGCCTGGGATGACTCCAGCTTGAGCTCGGAGCTCCTTCAACATCCCTCACATATACCGCTTACCTCATAAAGCAACCTCCACCTGTTCCCACAGAAAGCCACACCACAAGTCCTGAAAAAGCGCACTTGCTCTGTGCTCTGCTGCACAGCATGGGAAATGAGAAACATCCCCACAGGCAACTGACTCCCTGGGAATTAGTCTTGAGAACAGGTCCCATGGCATCCACCCAGAAGGAAGCTTTGGCACATTTCTTCTTTCTAATCAGATCAATGTATGTATTTCATTTTGCTCCAAACAGGAAAGGTTTCCCCACTATTTCAAGATATTTTTTTCTGTCACTGATGGCTTATACTTCAAAGACATTTTTTCCCCCAAGTATACCCCTGTTCATCTAAAACACATTGCCTGTACCAGACAAAGAATTGTAACATACTTCGGTAAAAATCCTTTGCATCTGCAGAATGGAAGAAGGATGTAAGATTGCCAATATAACAAGATATTCCAGAGAGATCTTACGTTTAAAAAGAAGGATACTTCAGAAATAAAAAGATTTTCCACCTGATGTTGCAGAAGGTTACAAAGTTAATAATGCTGTATATTAAAAGGTTACTGTTAGAGTTCTGCCCTCAGATAAGGAGCGTAAGACAGTTAACAGTTGCATAGACCTGATGTGGTACTCACGCAAAACATCCGCTCTGCCCTTTCACACACGATCTGAACACTTTGGTGAACAGTTCAAGAAATGGGTCAGATGAGGTGGAAAAGGTGATGTTTCCACCAGATATTTCACAAAGCCAGGCAATTTGTTTCTCTGGAAGCATAACAGTGGTCACAAGATAAAATAATAAAACCATCAAGCTACGAAAATTAACAGCTAGAGGGAAAGCTGGACAAATCTAACGACAGTCATACCTTGTTGTAAGTGCCATCACATTAGTCGCCCACCCCCGCTTCCCCCAGTTCTGGTATCAACTCTCCATTCCTCACATGGAGAAAAGACGACACCCAACATCTCTGTTATTATCCATCCTCCCAGGCAAGGCTGATCCGACACAAAGCAGGATGGAAGAAAGAGGAGGCTCCATCAGAGTGAAAAACAAAAGGCCAGCACCAGTCATGCAGCTAGGACTGGTCCAGAGTTTTGTTATGCGGCAAGCAGAAAGAGAAGAGTGGGAGACCCCAGGCCTTATTTTTTTTAATATTTTGTCTTTTTTCTGCTGGAAGCTATGGGGGGAGGTGACAACTTTTGGCAAGGGAAATAGCAGGACATTTGTCAAAGGCCTGAATCTGCCACTTCTCATTATGCGACCAGGTCAAAGGATCCACCCCAATAGCGATATAGATTAATCGCTTTTCATTAAGAGCCAATAAACAAACTCCAGTCAGAATGAACATTTCTGCCAGCACCCTGTGTTGCCATTTATAATTGCCATAAAGAATAGCAAAGGAGCACCAGAGACTTGTCAAATGTAATTTATGGGTTTTTAAGATCCAATCATTTTCTATAATATTAAATTAAATGGCAGCCTTTATTAAAAAAGAAATTAATTTCACCTTGCTACATTCAAGAATATATATATACACACCTATATATAAAATACTATTTTCAGTTGCTGCCTTCTCTAGTTTAAGTGGAGAGTGGAAGGGGAGGCAGGACTGATTACTGCTAAGGGTAAATCCTTACTGCTAAGGGCAAGTCCTTGAAAACATACTCGAGATGAAGTTCTCCATAGCTTTTCCTCTAGAGGCTATAGCCTGACCTCCAAAATTCAGTGGACAATGAATGGCAAACACCAGACAAAACAAGCCAGGCTGAAAATCAGACAGAACTTCAAGTAGGTCCTTAGGAGATGAATGCAGAGGAAGAGAGCTGTCTGGTACGTGGTGCATCTCCTTTAAAGCAGGAGCTTTGGGGGCAATGACGACACATACAGAGCTGTTCTGAGTGAACTCCAGTTCAGCAGAACACCAGACAGCAGTGGGGGAAGCACATGGAAGGGAGATTATTCGGAGAGGCCACCTTGGAAGAACAACATAAACTATGATGTACAGTCTGAGATCTTTGCTACGTGATCAGGAAACACATCCAGCTCTGAATACTTCAAAGGATTTATCCCAGGAAATAAGAAGCACAGGCTGCAGGCAGAAAGAACAAGGAGGGAAGGTGTCATACCTACACCTGCCATGAAGTATTTGGTACACAAACCATAGAAGTAGCTAAGAGTCGCTCACATCAGTGACTGATCAGGTGACAGCAATCAGGTCCCAGAGAGGTGGTGGAGTCACCATCCCTGGAAGCGTTCAAAAAATGGGTAGACGTGGCACTCTGAAACATGGTTTAGTCTAGTCTACCCTTGATTGGTTTAGTGTGGACTTGGTAATGTTAGGATAATGGTTGGACTGGATGATCTTAAAGGTCTTTTCCAACCTAAATGATTCTATGATTCTAGATTTGTTGGAGAGTGTGTAGGACTTCCTTAAAGGAGCTCTGAGCAAATGCAGAAGTGGGGAGGAAGGAAAGTGACACCACATCACAGCACAAATCCACTAAAACAGCATGCCCTCTGATGGGGCTATAATAAAAACTAAGGCAGGACTTGCAACTAAGAATCTGAGTTTCTGCTACCCTGACTAAAATCCCAGGTGTGTCATGGGGGGTTAATGCAAATGCCTTCCTCAGTATTGGTTTTACACGGGCTATGTCCAGGTGGATGGGTCAAGATGGTGACACAGTCCTCTTCCTCTGCTCCAAGCTAGCCAGGCACAAAGACAACTGTGATCTGGAATACTGAACCACACGAGTAATGAGGTAGCACACTTCTCACAGGCCCAACACTACAACGTGCCCAGATTCTACAGGTAGCCTGAGCTCGTATGTGCCTGAATCTATCTACAGCAGTTATGCCAGTACTCCCTTATAGCTTGGCTCTCAGCTATTCTCTCAGCACCCTTCACAGCTCTGCCCTCACTTGAACAGGCCTGCTTGGCACATCACCGCTATCCTTCCTTCCTCTTCTGTGCCCAAGGCACAAGAACAACCGCCACCGCCCATCATATTACTTGTACCCATAGTATCAGATTCAAAACCTTTATCACCACTCTTGCTCCTTGGTTCTGGGTTATCCCAGCACAGCATAGATCTGTTTTGTACACAGCTGAATCTTTTAATAAACTATCTCTGGACAAAAACCAAAACAATGTGCCATATAAAAGGCATTTTTACTAATATTAGTTTTCATTGAATCCTTTTGTTTTTCTCAGCCAACATAAATTTTCACTGTAAATTACCAAAGCGCATCTCTAAATCAGCACAGAAAAGTTTTATAGGTACAATATCTGTAGCAGTAGTACCACTGAGCTACAATAGCAGGAAGCATCCCAGTAAATGAATACAGAAGACAGGTTCAAAATACATGCCCTTTGTTCCCAGAAAGAAATAGAGAGCATTAAACCATTGTGCACTGCCTTCTGATTTTCCTCTTCATTTTAATGCGCTTTTCATAAGCAGTCCTTTTCAGAGGTCCCAGTCACATTCTCATTCGCCTATATAAAGTGCTACTCTAAAAAGAAATAAACAAAACAGTTTAAAAAAAGTCCACCCACAAACCACCCAAGCCTCCATAGCTACAAAGGAAAGCCAGCTCCTTAGCAAAGTACTAGCAATTTGCTCTGTAGCACTGCATTGTC